AACCTGGGACCTTCCCAGCTCAGTGCGCACCGCTGGACCTCAACCTGGGACCTTCCCAGCTCAGTGCGCACCGCTGGACCTCAACCTGGGACCTTCCCAGCTCAGTGCGCACCGCTGGACCTCAACCTGGGACCTTCCCAGCTCAGTGCGCACCGCTGGACCTCAACCTGGGACCTTCCCAGCTCAGTGCGCACCGCTGGACCTCAACCTGGGACCTTCCCAGCTCAGTGCGCACCGCTGGGCCTCAACTTGGGACCTGCCGAGCTCAGTGCGAACCGCTGGACCTCAACCTGGGGCCTTCCGAGCTCAGTCCGGACCTCAACCTGGGACCTTCCGAGCTCAGTGGGCACCGCTGGACCTCAACGGCCAGATAGAATGCCAGAAGATATGCCAGATAGAACGCCAGATAGAATGTCGGATAGAATGCCAGAAGATATGCCAGACAGAATGCCAGAAGATATGCCAGATAGAATGCCAGATAAAATGCCAGAAGCTATGCCAGATAGAATGTCAGATAGAATGCCAGAAGGTATGCCAGATAAAGTGCCAGAATGTTTGCCAGATAGAACGCCAGAAGATTTGCCAGATAGAATGCCAGATAGAATGTCAGAAGATATGCCAGAAGATATGCCAGATAGAGTGCCAGAAGATATGCCAGAACAAATGCCAGAAGACATGCCAGGTAGAATGCCAGAAGATATGCCAGAAGATATGCCAGATAAAATGCCAGAAGATATGCCAGAAAATATGCCAGATAGAATGCCAGAAGGTATGCCAGATAGAATGTCAGATAGAATGCCAGAAGGTATGCCAGATAAAGTGCCAGCATGTTTGCCAGATATAATGCCAGAAGATTTGCCAGATAGAATGCCAGAAGATATGCCGGCCAGAAGATATGCCAGATAGAATGCCAGATAGAATGCCAGAAGATATGTCAGATAGAATGCCAGAAGATATGCCAGATCGAATGCCAGAAGATATGTCAGATAGAATGCCAGAAGATTTGACAGTAACAAAATGTATAAATGTCATGGTGGGGATCACACGAAGTAAAGTAATTTGTTTCATCGTAATGTTTCTATATGTGCAGGTGAGTAGTGACAGAGTGACAGAGTGACAGAGTGATAGGATGTTGAGATTTGAGAAGGGCTTCGTGGTTTCACCTCCATGTAGTTCGCCAGCGATGCGATGCCCGCATCTCAAAAGCACCGGCACCGAGTCTTCCCCAGGGCATGGATCGGTATCGGCATCAAGTGGGCATCTATAAGCACTTGCATGTTGGGAGAATTACGATAATTAAATATAATTACTGTAATGATTATATTATATAGAATTGTGGCAATGAATACAAAGCCTGGTACCCTGCTGAACCCCAAAATAGCTGGAAAATGAATGTGTATTTCATAGGTTTTCATCCATCTGTGTATATGTTTACCAGGTTACGCTGAGGGTCTACGCAGTCGGAGTGTGATGCATTTCCAAAGATCGGTCACCAAGCTGAATGCAACATCCTTACTGAGCAAATGATTGACCGGGAAAGATCTGGGTTTATACTATCTGTATTTGCCTGTACGTTATATAAATATATACATAATATATATATATATATGATTGTATGGGTTGATACTATCAACTAACAGGGATAAAGTTCGGTTTTTATGTGTCATGACGTGATTTTTGGAGCTGAACCATGGCTGTTGCTGGACATGTTGGGGAAAATGAGATCCTTGTTGTTTCCGATGTCTGGGATTCGAATTGCACATCATACTATAATTGTGTGTATATAAATATATATATATATATATATATTACAATGTCATGTCATGTCAGGTCAGGTCATGTCATATTATAATACAATAATATATTGTATATATATATATTATGTTATATCATATATAGATATATAATACGTGATATCACATAATATATATTTATATATACACATTTATATATATATATATATTACCCTCCAGTAAACTAAATTAAACTAACATAGATGTGGAAAACCCACCATTTGTAGATAATTTCTAAGGGAAACCCATTTGTTCCCCATTTTAGTTTACAGGATGGTATTATATGAGAATATATGAGAATATTACATTATATATATACACATATATATATATATACACATACATATATACCCCAGCCTTCAAAAGCATATATAAACAATAGTCGTTTCGGAAGCAACGGTTTCTCAAAATAGTCGTTTCGGGAGCACCCATTGGGGCCACACAAATCCAATTCGTTGGTTCAGCATTCCTTTTTCTATCAATGGCCACGGGCCAGTCTTGCGCGCACTTCCTTGTTCATCCTTAGATTGAGCAGCAAGGATGGTTGCTACATCTCCAACTTGGCAATTTAGATACTGCCAATTAAAATCAAATCAATCAGATAATCTGCACCGAGTGGCCGCTTCACTTTCAGTTTGGTGGCCCATATCCTAAGGTCAATATAGTAACATCAAGGACAGGTCTTGGATAAAGTAAAGCGAAAAAACAAGTTCATATGATGATTGCTGGATGGAAGATGCATGCATGCATTCAAGTCACCGCATGCGTCCACATTTGGTGATCCATTGGGCCCTGTGAAGTGGATGAGCCTTCAAATATGTTCCTTGATTGGATCAGTGGTTGGAATAACAAATGCTTTGAGTTACACATAGATGCAACCACCTGCAGAATTTGACATGATTAAAAACAAATTTGGAGAACAACAGTTTTGTTTCATTCTAGTCAGCCTGATCACTACTAGGTTCTACAATATAAGCTCAGGTGCTTTTGGACCAGGACATTGCATCCTCATCCACGAAGCAATGCCAAAATCTGGGATTGCTCCCTAAGTGCGCGCATTCTTCCGAAACGACTATTGGTTTCATCATATGTGTTTTTGAAGGCTGGGGAAAATACTGAATACAATCTGGAAAGAACTTCCACCCCACAAATTATCCTAATCAAACAGTCAGTGCATGGCACAAAAAATCAATGGCGAGGTTCTGCGCTCTCGGGCGCACCGAAGTATATGCCAAAGGCCCTGAAGTTCATGGTAGGTAAAAACATAAGAGAACAAATGAAAACACATTTATCGGTAGCATTGTCCTTGATTTGTTTGCTACAATGATGTTTTTATTTATGTAAGAAAATCAAAAAGATGTTCCACAGAAATCAAACCAAGTCACATGGATTTTGGGGCGTATATACCATTCTTGAAGTCCTCTCCTGCATTGCCCGGCCGTCGCTCGTAGGCACAGGGTTTGTGTGAGAACCCTTCAATAGCATAGGGCACAAGATTTTTTTAATATTATATTAACCTAATCTAAATTATAAATTATAAATTATCATATCTAAACAAAACCTGCTCGTCGGGTAAATGTGGGCCATCACATGGCAAACAAACAACACATAAAATATATGTAAAAAAAACTATTGGATGACCTAATTGGTGTTTTTTTGGCAGATTGTGCAAATATATTTTGGTATTATTCATATTCCTGGAAACTGGGAACCAACATTGTGAGGTAAGCTCCTCACAGAAGCCCGCGCCAACTGCACATAGAGGCGAAGGAATTGACGTCCATCATGGAAAATAGACTGGGACTCTTCCTCTGTCCTTAGATATTTCCAAGACCAAAAGCCCAAACATAACATAGGTACCAGAAACCATTTTTTTTGGTGACGGACATTTGTGGAGATTTACTGTGGTCATGACATGGTAGAATTCACACTTGTAGAGGATTTACTTCAGTATATGGCTAGACTGTAGCATATGTGCATCACATATATCATTTAACAGAGACAAGGTTCAAAAACCTTCCGGCTTTCTCAATGGCCAAAACCATTCGGGACAGATGGAGCCTGAGATGTCGCGCTTGGGCACCCAATGGTGCTGGGGCAGGGTTGTTAAGCATAGTACAATCAAATGCTTCACCACTCCCAAAAACAACATACCAATATTATCTGTGGTTGGGTTATGATATACAATATAATATCCATTAATATCCTTCCAAACAAAAATATATATTTATAAAACGCATTACGTTTTGAAGGATATAGAAGTCAAAAGGAGATGGCACGAGTCGGCACAAAACACAAAAATGTTCAAAAACCTGCGTAGTTTGCAAGCCATATGTAATGTGGCAAGGATCATGCAAAGTGCTACTGGGGCAATGCGATCATCAGCATCGGCAGCACCATCTTGCTGGGAAACTTCAGCTACTGTTTCAGCCAGCCACTGCATCACAACTCGGCCATTATAAGCTTTGCAAATCAGCATGACATCGCCATTTCGTTGATACAACTTAGTTCAGTAGTGGTATTGAAAAAGCAGCAACAAAGCACCATAAGAAAATGGTCAAAGTCCAACCCATCCCACAAAAAATGACGAACGCATTCCAAGTATCCATTTTGGGTTGAAATGCAGGTTGACTGCAGCTGATCTGGTTAATGGCACACCAAGTCTTGAATGCCAGATATGCCCGATGCAGCCGAGTCTGCACTGGTTCATCAACACGTCCCCAAATCCCAGTAGAAAGTAGCAGATTCCTTGACAATGTTCACAAGGCAGCTCATTCACGTATTTGCCCAGGAAAATATATCATTGTGCGCTGCGCACATGCATTTTCAGTTGGTGATCAAACAAAACAGTTACACATAGGCTCTGGCAAAGTGCATTGTTCCTCCGTTCACGACGTGAAGGAGGCCAAGATGCAACACATGCATCAAACACCAACGGATTATAGACGGATGGAACCTGCAAAGCCCAATGAATGGACCTGAGCAGCTGGACAACCAGTTAAGAGATTGGCTCCACCAATAAAGAATCCCTGCTAAAACAAATCAAGAGTCTGGAGGTCCCTGATACAGATATAAAATAGATCATATTCATGCATTAGCTGAGCATTTTCACAACAGAAACAACACACTATAGACAAGCTGGCTATGTCCCCATTTCATTCTGGATGATGAACATCAGCCAAAATCTATTAGGCTAATGTCCTAGTCTCAAACTCGACGAGGTGGCATGCGGTGAACCAAGAACTGAGGTAAAGAGAAGTCTCGGTGGTTGTTATTGTCCAAATTCCAGTAGAGCTCTGGCCATGAATCTGAAATTCCCTTGGCATCACAATGATGGCATACGTTTTCGGCGTTCCAATTGGTGTTGTGGAAACGCCAAACCTTCTTGTGAAACTGCCAATCTCCTCTCAATTCTACTACCTGGAATCGGAGACCTTTGCCAGTCAAAGGTTTTGCAGCTCGTTTCAAAGCCTTGGCAGAAAGGTTTTGACCCAGATGCCCCACTTGGGGGTAGAAGCCATAAAATGCATGGTTGGCACTCCACACAATTCGGCGCAAAAGTGCGGGTATTGTCTCACTTGTCAAACGTGTTTCAGGGATTGCACACCCAAGGAAACGTGACCATCTCACTGACCTTGGTCGCCACATAATTGCGTTGACAAATATCGTCAAGATATGTTCGGTGCCAAAATTTGTGTCAACTCGTGCGCTATCTCCATAAATGCCGATGGGCACTGTAATGCCCATTTCGTCAGAGCTGATCTCCTCTGCCCATGGTTCCCCGAAAGCTTTGGAATTTCTCCAGAACTCTCTTAGTTTGGAAGTTGGTATGCTAACCTCAGCATCTTCGAATAAGAACCCCATCGTGTCATGTATATCCAGAAGGGGCCATGGCTCTACCTGCACAGTTGGATTCCCATCAGCATCAAGGTATTTGACCGGCAAGTCAACATAGGAAATATCCTCGGTTGTTGTTTCAAACATTTGCTATACAAATTCCATTTTGGGAAAAATGAAAAAACAGTTTATATATACTATACATATTATATGAGTATAATAAAGTTCTTTATTGTTGATTGAGCATTTGGGGTCAACGATTTTGAGGAACCAACGAACCGATTCCACCACCAAAACAAAATCTGAAGAAGTGTATATGGGTCAGGAATCAGGAATGGTCAGGATAACCCATGATGCGATATCCCTTTGAATTTTTCACCATGTACCATATTCCCAAAAAGACAAAATAAGTCAATCAAGGTTCAGGGCCACCGTTCACTTTACGCCACCAATCCCTGCTGGCATTCTTTGGACATGAGCGCCCAAGTCGCTTCGGGAGATCATTTTTTTGCAAGTTGCCCATGTCCTGAGCATCAAAAAAATATCAAGGTGCCCGAGAGGTAAGTGACACGAGTGGGTCATGAAAATATACTTGATGGTTTCATTTCATGAAAGGAAAAAACATCACCTTCAAAAACCATACGGAAAGATATGATGTTTATTTGCCACATGAAGGGGAACTACCTACCATTTATTAACTACCATATTCGAAAATTAATTTTGATGAAACCACATCAGATAATGTTCATGATATGATGGTTGTGTTTGTTAATGCAAACGATAACCAAGATACACATCTGGTTTGCACGGGGTATTAGAGCACATCTCCCTGTCAGTGTATGAAACAGAAAAACACCACATGTTTTATCAGTTGTATGTTCTGGATTATGGATAAAATTATTCATATGATAAATGTAGAATACAATTTTCATTTCAATTTAACACACATATATAAATGCGCACTCAGTAAGTATGTTGACTGGGTTGAAACGCATGCATGCATGGTATACATGCATGCATTGTTTTCTTAAAATTTATTTGGCCTGTTGTGATATAGGTCTGAGTCATGGATGTGGTGCATGTTGTTGATACTATCATTGTATGTATTAGACATAAAATGCATGAATTGATATAGGTTCCAATCCTGCTGCGCCCACTGGGGCAGTCTTGGCAAAGGTTCCTGCGCATGAGCTTGGATGCCGCGCATTGCTTTCCCAACAGTGCTGCCCTCAAGAAGGGGCAGATGGAAGATCCCATTGAACAGGACAGTATGATCCCAAAAATGTCGTACCAATTTTTTTTGTTTTTGGTCAGGACTTGAAATGAATTTGGTATTTTATGTATTTTATTCACACAAGGGTTGGGAGGTGTCAACATATGTGGGATGTAAATGAAATCCAACAATTTGAAGTGGGATATTGGATCATTCATGCACTTGGCTGACACAACACAACACACTGTTTTCCAGATAACCGTCTTGCCCAATATGCAACCAATATCCAGAAATCAGCACTAACTAAGATTGTGAAACTGTTTTTGTTCACAGTGGTTGCAGCTTATTGGAGCCAAGTAACACCACTGGAGATATCATCAATCGCATTTTGGAGGACTGCGGAATCAGCAAAATCACGCTCTCCCTGTGTACCTGCGTGGGCAAATGGAGATAAATCACACTGATTTGTTATGTTATCGTTATTCATGATGGAGGCTAGCACACTCGCACAGATTACCAAAAATCATGTGAATTTTTTTCTTCCATCAGAATGTTTGCCGTTCTTTCGGCGATATGGCCCTCATGATTGAGGTAGCCATGGCGACTATGGTCACATCATGGCACATAAACATTGATCCCATTGCAATTGGATCCTGGGTCGAAAGAATTTGAAATTTAATGACCATCTTTGGCCAGAGAAATTGAAATCACACAATTTGAGGGTTGGCCTCTCGCAATGATTGCACCAGCTTGCCCCATATGAGCTTGGCATCGCAAGGCTATGATGAATCAAAAATTAAATGGGTCAAATCACAGCTATGTTCTGATAATTACAGAAATAAAGATAGTTCAGACTTTGGTTTAGCTCATGTGAAGACAATTAGTAAGGATCTCTGCTTGATTTACGTTTCCCTGCAACACCATGCTCCCCCATGCAAGTGCAGTGCCCTAACAGTGTCGAGGGAACACCCTTCAATTTGTTTGCATCCTCAAAATTAGGGCTGGTATGGGCAAACCCACGGTTACTTCATATTGGATCGGGTCAGAAAGGACGCATAATCCTCAATGGCGGCCACTGCATCCTTAGTGAGCTGCTCCAAACCAGTGTCCTCAGCGAGAATGAAGTCAAGACTAGGCCCCAAATAGATTTGATTCAGTCCGATGGGGATGGATTGTGTAAACATATTTTTTTTGGTTGAACTGGCGATTGCAATAGCTTATTACGATATGATACCCCTTTGGGATTTACAAAAACCACCGCCATGCTGTTGGGGTTGTTTGATCAAACAAGAAACGTCAAGGGCACCCACCTTGTTTTGGATTTTCTGGCGGAAATCGCAAAGCCCATTCTTCTTCTTTGTGAAGTGGGTTGCGATCGCCTTCTTCAGGTCCGGTGCCCTCAGCGTTTGGATTTGCTGTGGGCTCTCAGGGGGGGCAGATCAGGTTGCCAACAAAGAGATATATAGCAGGATAGGTTTCCTGCTGTTTTTTGGGCAGTCAACAATGGGTCCTAGAAAGTAAGTCTGATGTGGTTAATCTAAAATATAATCGAAACATATGTCGATCAAGATATTAGGTCAAAAACCAGTACCATATTACTTGGCAATTGTTTGGATGATATGTCAGATTGGCCATTGCAATTTGAACATCATTGGGAACACTGCATGTCCGAAATCATGACTATTGGTATTCCATATTCAGAACAAATAATCAACACATATTTGAAACTATTATCTCAAACAGGCCATAAACAAAACTCTATTGTCCATGTGGGTGGTGTCCCTACTTGAAATAGATTGTATTGGTCGATTGATTAGCCAGGGGCCCAAGTGATAACATCAGAAAAATAATGGAATCATCCAGATGAGGGTAGTGTGGCTCCGTGTTGCTATCACAGAAACCAGGGTCTACCAAAATCTTAGGGCTCCTATCTGCTACGGTATCCAATCGTATGCATATCCCCATTATTTTCTCAACCAGGTTGGGTGACCCATATGTTGTGTCACTATTTATTTTACAATATAATGAATTTAGATTAATATTACGGATAATTATAACTACAAAATGGAATATGATTGGATGCAACAGGATAATTGTAGTTGATACCCCATATGCTTTGATTTTCTTGGGGCAAACTACCCATCATGCTCTGAAATGTTTTTGAACACACGTGAGGGATTAAGGCACGAGTACTAGGTCGATAGAACTCATGATATGTATATTGTATCACTATCACTCTAACCATCCAACAATCATTTTTTGGTGAGGATCTAGTAAAACAACAAAATCATATATTTTTTTGAAGTGATAACCATTTTGTATTATACCAAGGCCAATATTATATCATACAGTAATCATATGAGTAGTATCAACATATATTATATATATTATGCAATTTCCAGCATAATGAAAAATATGAATGACTATGAGTTATATTAATACTATGATATACGATAAAGTGTAAATTAACTATTTTTGTGCTGTTACATGATATCTGCATGTATAGTACGTATACTTTTGTTATGATTATATTATATAGAAAGCCTGTTTGCTTTTACCCCCATGTTGGATGGTTGATAAGCTATCACCCAAAATAGTAATGATATCAATTTCGATATAATATCAATAACAATAATGTTTTTGCCCCAGAAACAAAACAAAGTACCACCCAAGGATGCCCAACTGACCTGAGGTGCCCAGCAGATTGGCCAACGACTTCTCACGGCGACAGGCATCAACGATCTTGTCATTGAGCTGGGTCATAGCCTGGCAAAACTCCATCAAAGAATTTAAGATAGAATTTCGATATCGAGCCCAAATGTAAAGATACGGATTCCCAAACTTAAGAAATACAATAATACCATTCAGGGCTGCTGTCAAGTTGATGGGGGGTAAGAGGCAACCAGGATTTTGATCAACCTTGCCAACATCCTATGTTTGGTAAGTCGGAAAAATGTTTGACAGTTCTTTGCATTTTGGGGATCTATATCAAATGATGGGCTAAGAAAAAAGACATGTTCGGAGCAATCACATTTACACTGTGCATGTGCTCATTTTAGAGGCACCAAATCACTGGGGTAAAGCCAATGAACAACTAGAGCATATTGGAGAGTTCGACAAAGGCTTCAAACATGTTACCATGAATACATTTTTTAGTATGCTATCCTACATATGTAATGCCTACCTGCTTAATTGTTGATTCCAATGATTTCTAGAAGGCGAGTTGTCCGTGTATAATATAATATTATATGATAAATAGCATCGTATTGGTAACAGCTGATCCACTAAACCGTGAAGCCGGAATCCAGGATAAGTGCATGTCATTGTTCAGTGTGGCAGCTCTTGGGAAGCCAAAATGTCAAGGCCTTTTGGCATTGTGTGGCACGCATAACATATCATAAATTATACTGTGATGGGCAACACATCCTTCCCCAAATGTGCCTTCTTTGCTTTGTTGAAAAGCTCTTTGGTGGCCTTTGCATCGTCGCGATCCTTTTCCTTCTGCAAACGCTCCTGTTCCTTTTTAAGACGCTTTTCCTTCTTCTCCTTAGTCTCCTTCTTGTTTCCCTTCTTACTTTTCGCCTTCTCCTTCTTCTCCTTCTTTCCAGCTTTCTTCTTCTTCTTCTTCTGACAAGTATGGCTCCAGTGCTGTGAGTGGTTCCCCAATTGAACACCCCCTTCTTGGTTTGCAATAATATATACCCCTAGCTTATACAAACTGTAACAACTTGCAGTCGAATCCAGGCAAGGGGATTTCACTGACTGATTTCCAAACAGTGGCATGCAGTAGATGCTAGCCACTCTTCCTCATATAAGATGATTATGGAATATATAATATCACATCGAAAGGCCTTGCGGTCTGACGATGATGCCGACTCTTCCTCCGAAGACTCCTTGGAACTTTTGGTGCTGCTGCTTGGCTCCCTCTTCCTCTTCACAAGGCTTTTTTTTCTGGGTGCTTCGGAGTCGGAATCGTCGACACACTGGAATATGTCTTCCACCACTGTGTCAGTGGTTTCGGAAATCCCTTCCGAATCCCAAACCAGATAGAGACGCATTCCCTGGCGCAGAGACGGGTGCAGAAATATGATGCAAACACATGCATCAATTATATAGTTAATATAATAATAATAGATAAGTCCATACTTTGAGCATGGTCAAGATGTATGTGTTGTAGTGACCAAAAAAGTGCTGAAATTTTGTAGTGCTAGAAGTGCATAGAATCAGAAGTACTTCTTTCGACATGATCATGCCAAATACAGCCAAACCCAAGACACTAAGGGGGTCCAGTTTGTGAGAGTAGATGCTACTGCAACTAGTAAGCAATTCCCAGGAGGTATGTGCATATGCACCTGCACATGTTGAAGGCATCCATACAGAGATCCGCACAAACCACTCGCACGGCAAATAAACAAAACAATTGTCTTAGTTGTCTAGAACTTGCTTGGAACCTTTTCGATATTGGTCGATCGAGACTTATCATGCCTAACCTTTCAAGAAATGTGACAGGCTGCACTTGCATTTGCACCACATTCAAACAAAAGCCTGGATTTAAGATTCAAAATCAGTAGTAGGACAGGAAACGTCATTCAAAATGGAATTCAATCTCGGGAAAGTAAGATATTTGCTATATTTATTCCCCATATGAAATTACCCACCCACAGTCATTCGGCCTCCACCGAGGGGCAATCTGGATGGGCTTTGGTATGCGTTTGGGACAACTCAGGGTCCGAAAGCTTTGCTTGACAAATTTCTCTTGCCATCTCTGGCGAGGAATACTTTGCAGCAATTTGCGGTTCTGTTAACCACACTCTTGCTCCGTGAGCAGATGTCTTTCGACTCTCAACAATTTTCAAATATAATTCAGAACGTCGCCACTCGCCGGCACAGGCCGTCCATGCGTCTTGAAGAAGCTGCAGCTTTGCAGTGCCTGGGCTGTTGGGGGAAGGAAGGCATAGGACACAAAGGAAAACATGAACCTTGTGTTGTATATAGTGCACATGCACACATGTGGGAAGTACACATTGTGATCTGTGTGCAATGTGGAAAGCATACTATATATTATTACATTGTTTAAATATAATTAATAATTGTATATTACATAAATTCATAAATAGTAGTGTAAAATATATGATACGTATATAGTGCTTAATTGTGTATTTGTTTTGATCACCAAATTTGAAGATTTCAGTTACACAATGCCCTTTGAGCTTGTGGATATTATAATGCATCAACCAAGTAATTGAAAAAAACAATGGTATTCATTATATACCATCAAAGTCGTTCATTCCAACTATACTACAATTACCACAAAAGAAACCGCTATGTTAAATGATATTAGTGACAACAAAGTTGTTGGTGATGTTACCGAATTATTTCAGATCAGGCATGCTGAGATAAAAAAACGATGAACATAGAATTCAAGTACAATATAAATTGGCGACTATAAAATCCAATGCTCATGTCCTATCCTAATCAATATGAATACTTGCATGCACAGCTTTCACATGCCATGTGTGGGGGCATATGTTGTGTCATAGCATCAAAGGGGCAAAGGATGAAAATCTTCAAACGGTTAATGTAGCAGAAATATTGAAACCCATCTAGACTTCTCATATAAGCACATGCCTTTCACATAGTGATACAGCAAACGACATTTGTCATTTATCATAAGAAATCAAGAGCTTGATCCCAGCACACCACACTGGGATGATAAAGAAGCCCAGGCACAGTAGTGTGATTTGTCAAACGCCTTCTTCATCTCCGGCGGGCAATCGCGTCCTGAGAAGTAAATATACCACAGGTGGGAAGCCTAAACCAAACCAACTAGGAACAGACAGCAGAAGCCAAAACATCTAATCAACTCACTACAAACAGTTCATATGGAAGCTACACAATGCTTTTAGTCATCTCAAGAGGGCAGCAGTTGGTAAGAAAACATAAAGCAACAAACCAAACAAAAAGTCACAAATCGAATTAGGAAAAACATATGTTGTTGAAATTGCATTGTAGACTTGCTACGTTTTGTTTTTTCTATGGTGCTTTTCAATAACAACCTTAGCATCATTAGGTTGGCTGCATGCATATACAGTCAAGGTACGTTCAAAACTCCTGCTGAACTTCATGTATCTTGCATGTGCAGCTTTCTCTGCAGGTGTCTTTTCTCTCCTTTGCCTCTTGGGTCGTCCATTGCTATCTAGCTGCTGTGTCTCTGCCTGCTCTGCCCCTGGCTGCTGTGCTGGCTGCTGTGCTGGCTGCTGTGCTGGCTGCTGTGCTGGCTGCTGTGCTGGCTGCTGTGCTGGCTGCTGTGCTGGCTGCTGTGCTCCTTGCTGCTGTGCTCCTTGCTGCTGTGCTCCTCGCTGCTGTGCTCCTTGCTGATGTGCTACTTGCTGCTGTGCTCCTTGCTGCTGTGCTCCTTGCTGCTGTGTTCCTTGCTGCTGTGCTCCTTGCTGCTGTGCTTCTGGCACTACCAGTTGGTTGCATCCTTCCTCTGCTTCAGTTGGTTCTTTCTTGATTGCCCTGTCAAGTGCCTCTTCGAAGTCAATGTTGCTGTCATCTTGTGCCTCATAATGCTGAGTTGCATTATCATCATCATCATCATCCGGTTCTTGCGCTGGTGGCTTGCGAACGCTTCCAGGGCTGATAGTTTCAGCAGGAGTGAATTGTTGCTCTGTACCTAACCTCTGCAAAGCTTCATGAACTGCCTCTCTGTAGAGAGCCTCTCTTCCTTGGGGTGTTGCTTGCGCCTTCACCATTTCAGCACATGTTGCTTCACTCCCAGGCTGATTGTCATGGACACGTTTGGGCGGTTTGGCTAGTGCCTTTTTGGCTGCTGGCTTCGGCTGAGCAGGTGCTGACTGAGGTGTTGGCTTCGGCTGAACAGGTGCTGACCCAGGTGTTGGCTCCGGCTGAACACGTGCTGGCTGAGATTCTAAAGGAGCATGAGGTTCTGAAGGTCTGGTAGCTTCACCAGAATGGCTTGGTGCTAGAGATGCCTCATGTCTGACCTGGTCAGATGCGGCTGCTGCCGTCCCGGTGTTTTCTGTGTTGGTCTTTGCAGTCTTCTTCACCTTCTTTCCCCTTTTCTTGACTCGACGGGATCCACTCATTGGGGGATTTGAACCATCAGGTTTCTCCTCAGAAAGTGTGGTGGCTGGGGCCGGAGGAGCCTGAACCGGTGGCGGGGGTTGAGCTGGGACTGCTGGGGGGTCCTCAACAGGTGATGGTGTCATGGTGCGCCTGATCTTGTCCACAGGGGTCACAGGTGCCAGAACTGGAACACTGTTGACTCGGACTATGCCAGGCTTGGGCTTAGGAGGGGCTGGGTGAGTCTCCTGTGCCTTCTTTGCAGCCTCATAGTCATTGACTGCGTTTGCCAATGCTTCTGCGTCATCAGCTGGAATGGTAGTTGCAGTACTGCTTGCTCCTGACGTGCATGTGTGGTACAGGGTGTAGGGTCAAGAAAGCATTCAGATTAACAAACAAAATGGCAACAGTTTGTCATTGGGGATGCCAAGCATATAAGCATGGTGAAGCCACAAAAAATCTACAGCATCAGCAGTAGAATATTACATAGTATATACAGCATATATAATATAATTTAATATAATAATAATTATAATATTATTATATATTTATTAATATTTATTTTCCAAGCGCAGTGCCCTGTTGCTTTGAAATTGGCTAGTGGTGCATAAAAAACAACCAACATTGCGTTTAAATGTTGATAAGAGGTCTAACAGGAATACATGCAGAACCATGCACAGAAATATGAAAGATTATATGACTTATAGTGGATCACAAACCAGAATAAGATTATAGTGGGGATGGTCCCAGGTGAGCAAAAAAAGTTATAACTTTATAATACATTGCATTATTTCGAATTATATACTATCGTACACATGCATGTTATATAAATATAGTTGATCGATTCTATAGTTACCCGTCATGTTAGTTGTATAGTTTGGTTGTATTGCATGCAATGTAGTGTGCATCATAATATTGGTATATAGTACGATAATTATATTTTCAATGTAAAATAATAATAATACAAATTAGTGTAGTCTATTAACAGTATCAATTTGGATTAAAGGTATAATATAATATTATAAAGCCAAAGGGATATTTGATATCATAACAATGCATGTATGTACACGAGACACTTTGTTAACTTTGTGATATGATTATCATGATCTAGCCATCCTAGAGACAACATATGCCATTGCTTGTGTATCATGGTTGATGGCTGCGAAAAAATACCATGCAATGCAGGGATAGACAAAATTGAGGTGTAATATAGGCAGAAACAAATGCAGAATTATTGTAATATTACTTTTATGAGAGTTCATTATGAATCTCATTTGGCACATTTGCTGCAGTTGCCACACATATGGCAATGACAACCCCGGATCAAACATCATTGTGTGATTTGTTTATGATGCATTGATGCATTGCAGTTATTTGGTTTGCTCATTTTTTATACTTGATAATCTATATACCTGATGCAAATAATAGATCATCACTGGGACAACCAGCACCCAGTCATAATCCTGGTGAACCTCCAGTCGTAGAGGAAGTGGGTGGTGATCCAGTTGCCTTGCCCTTGGAGGCCAAGTGCGCTGCCTCTGCTGTCATCTCCATTGCCCGGCGGTCTCTCAACCTTGACGAGAGGGGAATGGGATAAACTGACTCAATTTATATTAACGATACCTGAATGAACACCAATCACAGTAGTGCAGGTTGTGTGTGGAGAACAAGTTGATTTGTGTTCTCAAGTTGTGCAGTTTTTGTTGGTGTACATAACGTTGATCCAGCTAGATGGTAAGGCATGGACAGAACTGACAACCATCCAAATTGATCATCGGCAAGTTCGTAGCCTGAAAACCGTTCCACCATACCCTTGGCAACCTCTAGCTCAGCTCGCCTCTTAGACCGATCAGCTGCCCGTTGTAAGATCTCATCCACCGGCCCCATTGCTGTGGTGGAAATCACTCCCTTATCAACCCAAATTGCTTCCAGAATGCACAACGGGCAACAATGCAATCATCTAAAAAAGAGGTATTTTTAGCCTCATGTCGTTCACGCATAGTAATGGGCGTTCACGCATGTTTCACGCTGTTTCACGCTGTTTCACGCACCCCCCTCCCAGCAGAGCAAAACAGACACAAAAATAGTATACAATTTACACTTTAGTTGTCAGGAGTTGTCAGGAGTTGGCAGGAGCTAGGAGTTGTCAGGAGTTGTCAGGAGCTGTCAGGAGCTGTCAGGAGCTGTCAGGAGCTGTCAGGAGCTGTCAGGAGCTGTCAGGAGTTGTCAGGAGTTGTCAGGAGTTGTCAGGAGTTGTCAGGAGTTATCAGTAGTTGTCAGGATCAGGAGTTGTCAGGAGCTGTCAGGAGTTGTCAGGAGTTGCCAGGACGAGCATTTGTTCAGATCCAGAGCCATCAGGATTATCAGGAGTTGTCAGCCATGTTGGTTAACTGATGACGTTCACTGCATTTTTTCCCTCAGTCTGTGGCCCAGAAGGTCCGACCTCTAATTATTTTTGCAGCAGTGTGCAGCTGCACTTACAGGTAAGGCTCAGGACTGGCCATGGAATGTTGATTTTATATATTTGATTTATATTATAAATTAATATAATATTTCATGTAACACAATGACAAACAGTGGCAAATTGTAATTGTTGCTCATTATAACTGGAATGCCATCCAATCACCTCGTCTCACACGAATTACACAACAGTGGCTCACCCACCGTTGGAAACAGGTTTTCGGCATTTGGTAATGCACCTGCCATATCTGCAAATTCATTGATGGTATTTTACATTGAGTGAAAACGGTAGGTCTAATCAAGACCAGTTTTCATGATAGGTTTGTACATACCCAACTCCACTATGTGTTTCAAGTGGTTCCGGGTGTCCGCTAGCAACGCGTGGCGCCAACGGTAAGGTGCCTGGTGCAAAGATCCACTGAGAGGCTGGGGGTTGAGGAGTGGAAATGTCACTGACTATAGTAACAAGTGTATAATATGCTATAAATATGCTATTTGTTGAGGTTAATGATCACTACAACCATTTGATCACAAATGGGTCTTATTGGAAAAACTGCAGCCATGAGGTTATCTGATGCACATGTGGGGTTTTGGGGGATTTTGCAGTTTTGCAGATAGTCTGTGAAACACATCAAAAACCGGAAATTGCCCAATAGAACATCATAAATGCTCAAATTTATTTTAACATGGTATATTTCCAATTTCTTCAGTCGTTACAAATTAACTAAGGAAAGGCCAACATCTTTCTAAGACCACACTTCAAGCTGATCAGCCTGCATAGGCGGATTGGCCACTTCAGCCTTGCGATGCGTTTGCATCTTTTTGGCCTGGGCAGGCACCAAATCGGAATTGGGTAGGAGTGCATCCATGAATAGCTTACCTGAGACTACCACCACAAAAGCTTTGTGCTGATAAGCCAGTTCCCGGGCAAAGGGGCGAGGGTATGCTGCACTAGCACGCATGCCAGTAGATCCAGTCCTTGCAGGTTTCCGGTATACTCTCACATTCATCTAAAACAAATTACATCAGAACTATAAAAGCTAGCGCTAGATATCGATATTGATTTACCAAAATAAATATGTTTGTCCATTAGACTATTGAATGCATTATTGACTAGTTCAACCAATCCTAAAGAAAAATACATATTAGTCATGCATCCAAGTAACACCTGAACCTTGCCATTTTTGGATATGTTTTTTTTCACCATCTGGTGACCCTTCACGCATTTGTTCTTGAGAATTCAGCGCTTGTCACGGGCCGAGAGCTTCTTCTTGAATTTGTCCAAATATGGACTCAGTTGAACCCAACAAGCATTATTTTTCTTAATGCCCCACTGCATGCAGGAACTATTTGGCTGGTTGGTGCATCATCTATTGCAGGCCAGGGACACAGTTCCGAAAAGAGCAGTTGGTTTGTTGTTGGCATGGCCCCAAGCTCCCATGGGACTCAGTCCAAATATGATGCAACAGTGGTGACCACAGGAACTAAATAACATAAAACATAATTTGATTGTAGTCCAGTGTGTTCACAGAACAAGCTACTAAGTATGGAACAATCGGACCCGGAACCACGGGATTGGATCGATCACCAGGGCCAGATACTTCAAGTAAGGAAAGTCCAACATTAAGCTGGAGCTTGGTTGCTCCCATAGTATTTGGCACCCACGAGCGAGTGCGATCAAGCATAGAAGTGCAAAGCGACATGTTATCCTTGGATTGGGAGGATGGTAGGGACTTCCAGTGACTGTGAATAGTAGCATAATGGAAGAAAATCAATATGACATATTATAATATAATAATTATGATATATAAATTATATTAATATTAATTTTATTATATAATGCATGGATCATGGTATATTTATAATAGACCAGAGTATCGACAAATAAATTCAATTGTTGTTGCATAACCTCAGGGTGTGGGTTCAAATTTTGGTTATGGTAGGCTTTCACCACTGCAAGAACCAATCTATATATAATATAATTACTATAGTGATAGCTGTTCAATTTAGGTGGTGACTAAAAACAGAAGCGAAGCATAAAAGAAAAAATAGAATAATCGTTAGGGAGAATCGCATTGGCAGCACGGACATATGCCTTTGCACAGTCCCCGAACAATCTAGTTTTCGATCGTCGGGACGTGGCTCGATTGACCCAAACGAAAGAGCCACATGGGGGCCCCCCCACTAGGAGGCCCCCATGCTTAAGCCTCAAGACCTTGTGGAGGATGTTGTAGAAGCCCACCCTTGGGCCGGTGAGCAACAGTGTAAGATTCATGTAATATATTACACAAAGGCAACAGAGAACTGAAGTTTCTGAACATAATATAATTAATATGAACTATATTAATACATGATTATATATATTATATAATTAATTATTTTCCGATTATTATATAATATTAATTATTATATAGTATTTAGTATATATTATTATATTGATCGAATCCCATTATATGTTTTGTAGCCCAGAAAAACGTTTGTCCAAATTCCTTTGCAACAATGTATCTTTCCTTCAAACCCAACAACTGCGCTGTTGTCTAAATTTAGGCTTTGAAGGTATGCCGTATGCCTAAAAAAGCTAGTCTTGAAAGCCACCAATAGAAAAGTGCTATGATGGCCTGGTATTGAATAAAACCATAACGCATTGCAGGCACAACCCAGAAGCTGACTAGAATGACAAAAATGGTTGTTGCAACTAATTCAATCCTTATATAGCTTTTCGAGCAGCATATTCACGAAACACTGAGTGCTCGACTGGTCCAATATATCTCCAGTGGGCCCCTGCTTCTCCACGTCAAAAAAGTCCCTCAGCTCGCTGAACAATGGCAGGCAGCAAAACTTTTTGGCTTTAGGCAGGCGGTATGCTCGCTGGGTGGTCAAAGTTCACCCATCTAATCCGAGGAAATGATTTTGGGGGTTAGTAAGGTGTTTATGATCACTGAACATTCTGCCAACACCATGATATGATGGATCAAAAGAAACCGTGATAGCTTTTTGTGCCAAATTTGTTCTTAAGAAGAACACACTGACATCCTTAGACTTGACACAACAGTCCACCAGCCTTGATCCAGCTCAATGTTGGTACTAACAACAATGAGAATTCATTACAATCCCAAAATGAAACATAGGTTGGGGCACTACACATGCGCCATAACACATTAATTGTAGTGATAGATGAGGATCTGATAAACTTTTTCCAAAGTTTGTTCTTTGGACGAATGATTAGACCAAGGACTTGGCTATCACCAAACCAGGAACCACAGTGCACCCAAATGTCTCGGTCCCCAACGTTTTGCAACCAGCCTCACCTCAGATGTGATTTGGAATTTGATAAAAAAGAGAATCCGTTCACATGTAAATGGGCAAATGGATTTAGGTTGAAATCGCAGTTTGGAACTACATGCTTTGATAGTTAACATTTCTCGATCCAAATCAAAGGTACAATCACCATCGTAAATGAGAATTAGATCAACCTTCTAGCATTGGAAGCTATTTTGATACCAATACCCCAGTGAATATAATATAGCATAATAGCTATTATATTTATCATAAATACAATCGCCAACTTGTTTGACAAGTGGTATTGTGCGTTTCTGTTACAAATGCAAAGGAAATATGAACATTTGTTTTGTATATGCGTGCATATGCTTTGTTGGTGGACCTCACCAATCCACTATACACATGGGCGTCCGTCAGGGTTCTGTTGGATAATTGCCGCTGCTGGTTGGCAACATGTTATTCTTGGGTGCTTAGTTCAGCTTATTTCTTATAACAATTATCTATGACTGGGGACCGGACTAAATGCTCGGGAGATTTCGCACTGTCCTCCAAAGGCATCCAGCACGTGCAAATCCTCGGCTGGCTTGGTGCTCAACAAGCTGTGTCTGGCATGGGGCAGGATGCTTAAAGAATGAGCAGAGCTTACACACAGCATAGCTTCGATATCAAAATACTATCTATGTCGATCAATCATGATCATATCCAATTGTAAGCTAGTGAGTTCATCAAAAAATATAAATAATATATATAATATATATAATATATATATAGCATAATTGTCTAGTCAGTAAATAACCCTTGAGTAAGGCATATTGAGATACACTCATGCACATGCACATAAAACATGACCACCCACAAAAACGATCGAACTCCTAACTGCCAGTGTTGCCTTGAGTGCCACTTTGGGCGGTCTTACATCGATTGATTAAGTTGGACTAATGTTTTCTCTATGATTTTTTCCTGGAGAGCCCCCAAACCTGGAAAGTAAACGACATAGCACCCTTTTCTCCCATCAACAAATTAAACAACCCGCAGTTTGGGTATTACATTCTCATAAACTGTGAACTCAGATGCTGAAAAAATCCAATCAGTTTCTGAGTACCAGGCTCTGCCACTTTCACAAGAGCTTGCATTTTGCGCAATCGTGTCGCACATATGCAACCTGAGCTTAGGAAAGACAAGGTCACCCCCCCAAAAAAAAAACTATACCAGCCCTTGGTATCATTTAAGGAATTTCGATCACCGATGTGGATATGCTTTCTGAACCACCCTATGCCATTGTTTGTCCAAGCATGGAAACTAAGTTTAAGCCTGAGAAACATTACCAATGGTATTCCCCAGCTGATGAGGACCATGGCTGACTTGGCACTTAGGGCAATGGGCTTGGTGCCCCAAGATGCCTTTCCATGACCCGTGTCCCCTTTCATGATCTCCTGATCACAAGCCCGCCGTCACCCAGATTGCAAAAGCTGCAGATGGCAAAGTGCTTGGCTCAGGAAGCAACAGGACGCAGCCACGGTTTAAGGACCCCATCATCAACCTTTATAACATTTTATAACATTACTCAATTGTTCCACAATAATAAGTTAATTTTTTCTGGTCGCAACCCCAATGATTTTTTCATAAGTATCATTGAGATCGAGATACTGCAGAGTAACCCGCACCCCCAACAGATTTGCAACATGTGCATGGACCAGTTGTTTGTTTCATGCACGCTGTTAAATGCAAAGAATGCAACTAAATAGGAAACCAATAGAGACTCTGTCAGGAGGGTATGTAAACTAACAAGCCTTTCAACCAGACATGACCCGGATGTGCAGACAGTCAAAGGCTGCAATGCGCAGTGTTTTGTTTCTTGCATTCTAGCCATGTTCCCCCATTGGTTGGATAAATGACCCAACTCCCAAAACGAAAACGCACAGCTGCATAGAGATGGGATTTGCCTGAATGATCAGCCAGCCATTTGAAACATCCAGCCTGTACTATGAACTAGCAATGAATGTAATATAATTTATAATATTATAATTAATAGTAATAATAATTGTTTCTATTAGCCACGATATATTTGGCCGCATTGTAGGAGTATGAAAACCAATATTAATACAGGCACAATCTGGCAAGATAAAGGCTAACCAAGTATATGATGAAGACTTCTCACACCCAATTTCAAATGAGGCTGTGGCGATGCAGTGGCAATGGCTGACATCCGAGGCACAGCTGTGGCAACATGGGCCAATCATACAGCATCCTGATTGTCCAGTTTTTCTTCTAGTGTTGTAAGCCACACTTAGCCAGACTTCAAGCATAAATGATAAAAGCTACTGTAGCAAAAACAGCACTGCGTCATGGTTACTATGTTTATTCTGTAGACGCTGGATGCATTGATTCCCCATCAGTCACAAAGATTGCGCAGTGATTCAGGGACCCATGGCTTCAGACACATCAATTTCCCACAAAAAATATCAAAGATACACTTGATTTTCAAAGCTATACATTTTCAGGATTGGGTATCCACCTTGCATAGCTGAAACCCTAAGAGTCCACCAAATGTACACTGATCACTCCATGTTCTCAAAATGTCGACCCAAGTCGGCCCAATACGATTCACTGTGGCCACCCTGCAACCAGCTTTGCCAGGTTCCACCTCAGAAGGACTTCAGACGGGGCTGCAAGGACATTGCAAGTCCTGCATGAATGGGGTTTTCAAGTTTAAACCAAAAAAAAGCACACACACAAAAGCACTGGTAAGTGGTTATTACGAACATGATACATGCGACTGCCTTTGCTTTTGCTAATTGAGACACATATGGGGATAAACATGATGAGCACATTCACATTAATATGGTATGTAGGAATCGATCTAACATAGATGGAATTTTGATATCAGATGACCAACACATATTGCAGTGCATCATCACCCGGGGGGCGAATATGAGCCAATTAAGTTATTCAATTTACATTAAATTAGAGTCACAATACATGAGAAATGTCTCTCTGTTATGATACATGTAACATTGCAATTTTATTCATATATAACCAAACAAAATTATCCATATTCTAATTATATTATATAATATAATACATAATATGTATGGATGACATAGGAAACTATCACGAAGCTGTGGCACCCCACGTGGACTGACATCCACCATGGCTGTTCCAACACACAACTTAGGGAACATGTGTTGAAAGGATGTGACTGGACATCTGATGACAAATTAATAAAGGTTTTCGAAGTTACAAGTGATGCCAAATAAGCTAGGCTATCATTTTTTGTCAGAACTGTTGACACATGTTCCCAAATCAATGTGCATATATAATGCAATGTAAATATAGATCATATCTATATATAGATATAGATAATACGTGGAAATAATGAAATCCACTGTCATGGGCTAGACCCGGCCTTGAGTGATGCTGATTTTTTTTTGTTCAGCATGTCCACCCGTTCTTCAATCCCGGCAGCCCTTGAAACATAGAAGGATGCAGCAGTGCTCCTTGATTGGGCGAGCCTCAGGCGTGGCAGTCGGAAGGCAGTTGGAAGGTGGTCTTTGGAAGATGACTCAACTGAATTAATGAAGCAATGTGGTAGACCTGGTTTTGCTGGCTGGGTTTCCAACAAAACCCCAATTGTAGAACATGCTCCAGTCCCTGAATCTGGACGAGCACCATCAGAAGGATAGAGGGTGAACGACCTTGGTAGCACATCTACATTGGTCTTTAATAGAAAAGAGCACTGTTGACATCAGTACCAATCGATCTATATTATGTGAGAACATATGTTGAACTATTGTTGAACAATCTCATGTACTCTTACAGTATATGATATGGAATAAACAAGAGAGCACATAGCGCTGTTATAACGATATAATTATAATATAGCCAATTAACAAATGACAAGTAATCTTTTCCGAATACATGCATGCATGCATATATTATAAAGATGCTACTTTACAAGTATGAAGATCAAGCATTCACGGGACTACAACATATGTGCATTGACAGGTCTCAGGGAACGGTTCAACTGCACGCTGAAACTACCCTTTCATACAGAGGCATTTCAGTATTTCAATGGCAGTTCATTCAACATAGCGGTACCAGTTCAATGGTCATGCCACACTAACTAGATAATACAGCTTGGCTTCGATTCATGAAGTTTTCAAAGGTCAGAACAAGTTGAGTTGAGAGTTGAGGGTGTGACTTTCCCGGGACCATCTCCTCTGGCAGGCTCAGTTGCGAATCCTGCTGTGCGACTCCAAGCAGGAGATTCCACTTTTCCTCCTGCAGCGAAAACATTCAGAGGGCCAAGGGTCTTATGACGTTTCTCTTATGGGATTGTCTAAAAAGCCAACTTTTAAATGGATCAAACACATTTATTTTTACACAACCAAATCAAATAGATTCTTTGACGAGAACAGTAGGGATATCTCTGAAAGGGTCGGGACCTATACCCAAGGTTTCCTGTCAAGGTCAGACTGTCCCAAACATCATTAGTACAAGTAACATTGGTGTCATATAATGTGAGATAATGCATGCCATTCAAACAGGATATGCGATAACAATGATTTGTTGAGGAAAACTAGGTCCTTAGCAGCTTGCTCAACTTTGGCCTTTTCTTCTGCCTTTTTTTTTCATGTTCTGCAGTCTCTACATCTGGTTCGGTGTCCATCGGGGATGGAGGGATAGGCACTTCCTGGGCTTCGAGGGCTTGCACCTCCTCAGTATCCTGTGGCTTGTCAGTCTTGCAAGGTTTTCCCAAACGGCTCTTCGATTTTCGTTTCTTTCTCTTGGGTTTCTCAAGAGGCTCATGATTCAATCCCACAAGTTCCCCAGGCACACTTTGCTCACCTGGGCCAACGGCCTTGTCATCAGCATCGCCAGGATCACCTTGACGACTACGAGATTTCTTGGCCGAGCTGGAAGGCGACATGACTTTCAGCCGCTTCAGCTTGGAAGTTTCACCAGCGAGTCGGGATTTCTTTCTCCTAAGTCTGCTAGACCTTTGTTGGGTAGGTACTTCGGCAGCATCAACATCGATAGTGGGTGCATGTGAACAACCAGTCTGGTCATCAACATTTTCAGTAGGAGGATTTTCAGTCGTTGACTCTGCGGCCTTTGCAGTATCGGGTGGTGGTCCATCTTGTTCTTTTCCCCTACCCTTCCTACCTCCTTTGCCGCGTGCTCCCTTTCCACGCCCCTTTCCTCTACCACGTCCCTTTCCTTTGTTTCTCTTTTTGGCTATCCTTTCATCCTCTTCTCCTTGCAACTCCTCCAGTAATTCCCGATCATTGGCCTCCTTCTGCATCGTGCGCAGGGCTGCTTGCGCCTTCAAGGAGACTGCGGCTGGGCTGTCACTGTATGTGTGATGGTGTGTGCAAGAAGGTGCCATCACCATGGTCTCAGAGCAGTAGCATGTTGATTGTTATCGGTATAACTCATATGATAAGATCGACCAATATCAATCAATAATAATAATAATAATATTATTTGTATCAAACATCTATAGCCGTTGGGAAATCAAGTTGGATACAGTGCAATTGAATCGTTTATAAGTTTTTTTGGCTGCAAAATCAAATCAGGGTGAATGTCGACTATACTACATAGGGCTGAAGATAGCAATCCCATCAACCATCAATGAGTAGACGCCTTGACCATTTCAACCATATGCTCTTCTGTTGTGGCTTCCCCGGTCGTGCCCAAGAGAGACTTCATTTGGACATCCGCTTGCTCATGTAGACTTTGAGGAATATTGATCTCTTCTTTCAAAGGCTTTCGGTCCTGCAACACTGGAAAGGTGAGACTTGCAATTCAACATATGTTTCACATTGAGGTGCATACCCAACAAACTATTAGTCATCAAGAATATAATATAATATAGTACTTATAGTAGACAGAATTAATACAATTTTATTCCTAGTTCCATGCACTAGTTTGTGGCTGAAATATCTGAAGAATTTAATTGATGCTACGGGACTGACATGGTTGTATATTCTGTGTTGTGATTGCGAAGCAACTGCCGTAACCTGACCTTGAAAACTCCTTTGGTACTCTTGTCGATATGGTCTTCTTTTTCCTCACCATCAGAGTCCAAAACTTCTTGAACTGTCTCAGCAATCTTTTCCTCATCGGGAATTCCATCTGGACGACTACCTGGAACATGTCCCGTGGTTGCACCTGCATGCCCACGGATGGAATCCGGAGCAGGACGTGCAGAACCTTGCACATCGACTTTGGAATGCGCAGCCAGATCCTCAGATTCCTTGCATTTTTCCTGGACAGTTTCCTTTGGTTTTTCCATAGTACAGTCATCATCGTAGATTTCAATGGTTGAACCATCATGCACAGTCACCGGCAAACATTCAACCTCATCATCAGAAGTAGGGGGTTCCTCCTCAGCTGTTTCTTCGTCATCATCATCTTCTTGAACTTGATCAGTAGCTGCAGTTGGCACATTGGGGCTTTCCAGGGATGGCATGTTACGAATGGGTGATGGGGATGGCCATCCTTGAGAATCTCCTGGCTGGGTGTCGATCGTGTCGATCCACGCTGCTCGTTGTGCAGCCTGCCCATATGGAACAATGTACAAGGTATATTAATATTAGAAACCATGACTGATTGAGAAACAGCTTTCTCAAAACACATTCGTGCAATATCCATAATGGATTCTAAGATTGATTTTGACAAAATATGCACATGCACATGGCATGAGTGGCAGCCTGTTGCTGCTTGATCCTGGAAGCTCCAATACCTCGGGTCGGGATCTTCTTGCCCTCAGGTGAAAGCATCCCTTCTTCCTGGCCCAGCTGTGAGATGTTTGTTCAGTGAGGCAGTCATCCACACTGGGATTGAGAGAGGACACATTGAAACCATTTATTAGTGTTTCTTTTCCAACCAAATACGAAAACCGAAAAATGGATCAGTGTAGGAAGAACGTTGGACATGTAAATCGATTGGCTGATTTCAAGCATATCTTGATCCCATTTCACCAGACTGCAGTGTCCTTCAGCTTAGCCTGGATGACAGCCCTGATCATGTCCATGCGCTTGTGTCCTGGCCTGCAGCAGGGATTTGTTGTCCGTTTCAAATCGATATTATAATATAATATATGCATATGTATGGTCAGATTTTTATTTTTATAACATAATGTAACCATAATCATGAACAAAAGATAGTAGGCCCTACTAGTGTTGGTAATAAAAATCAAAACAACGAAAGCATTGCACATAGTACACAGTAAGTAATATTGTCCATATGAAATCGAAAGCTGTCGTTCAGTCAGCCTGCACAAACAACTAGGATTAATGTACCACTGCAACCCCAGCCTGGATTTATCATACCGCTGGAACCGATCCAAGCAGTAAGCGGCACAGGCCCTGATGAGGCCCCCCTCTGTGTCAGCCCAAGCCTGGTGTTTGTGCACACAAATTGCGCAACATATTTGCATGCTACATTGATCTGTTATCAATACAACATACTGAAGGTCACAGTGCACAGCGCACCACCAGAGTTCTGAATGATATAATTATCAACCATGACAAGAGTTGTGGTTTTCAACTAAAGTATCATGTTGGGAGGCCTCGTGATGCTTGGGGCTTCTGTAGGGGTTCAACTGATAGTGCTCGCTGCACCAGGCCAAGGCATCCTGGAAAGAACTGATCATGGTCGTTGGTCAAAATCAACACTGAAGCATAGGTGTCTACTAGATACCAAATAATGTGGACTTGCATACTCAATCTAAAAAAAAACGGTCCTTCATATCAGCAGCAGTCGGGATGTCATGTGCAAATCCCGCAAGGAACTCCACAATGATGTCATAGTTGTGGTCTGATTCCACCTGCTTTAACATGCTAAAGATATCGAAGATATGCCAACAGGGCCAGCTGAAAGACCATGATTGGTGAACTTAGATTCTGGATTGCATGTAGCAACTGAAACCTCCCGGTGAGTGATGGTGGTCTTGTCCACAATGATGAACTGCCACTTCGCAGCCTTGGGGGAAAACATTGGAGCATTGTGCATTGGAAATGTGGCGTGTATAGCTTGAAGGTGATTATGGCTGATAGGAACCCACACTCATAGGGAATCCTCAAAACTTGTATCAAATCTAATTACTATCAAAGGAATTACAAAATTTGTAATCTATTTGCACAACATATGTTGTACTGATTATAGTTATAGAGTTATTACGTAATATATATGGGTTTGAACCTGCAAGCTGATCTATCGGACCTTTGGTGTATAGAGCACCGATGGCCTTTGGAGAGGGGAAGCCAGGGATGAGATTGGTAACATCCAAAATGAAGTTTGACAAAACCCTGCCAGTTATGACATAACCAAAGGTTCCATTCTTGAATTTATGTTGATTTCTGAATACATGCAGGGTTTTGCTAAACTTCATTTTGGATATGTCATGATTTGGATTCAATACCTGTTTGATTATGAATTTTCAAATAGGAACTGCATGATTTGAACGACAACATGTGACCGATTGCCAATTTTGGGGTAATACATGGTAATACCGAAGGGCTGGTTAATTTAACATATTCTGGAGTGAGAAATTCATGGCTGCCCCAATAGCCATGGATTAAATAATGTTGGAGCCTAGTGACCTAGCTATGGTGATATTTTCCTATGTTGGAACTGTATCCATCGATCTTTACTCCAAATGTTGGCCGCAGTCCAACGGAACCAGTATTTGTTCTTTAGAATTTACCAGATGGTACCAAAACAAACATAGCAAAACCCAAAATCATTGTGAAGACCATTGGGATATACAGACTTGATCCCACACTTTGGGTGCCAGACTTTGCGTTTGTCTTTCTCAGTCAGTCCAGCTCGTTGGCGTAAGAGCTTCCTGCGCTCCTCCAAAAAGTTCTCTCGCTCGATGATGTCGACCAAAAAGGCCTACGTTTGCTCGATTTGTTTTCTTTAAAAACATGCGGAGCTTTGCAAACAAAAAATCCTTTGGCATTTTAATAGGCCTGATGATGTACAAAATAGTCATGCAGGAATCCTGCAGGCCTTCACTTCTTCAACCCGTTGCCGATGTGTCGTGGCCATGGCCCGGGATCCAACTAAAAGCTTACAGTGGCTTACAGCCAATCCAAGCAGTTGCATAGCCTGATCACTGCCCCAGTTGCATTGGGGGCTACAACTATGTGTATCCCACTATTTGCCCCTAGCATTGAAAGTTTAGATGATTATTGCTCGCAAAGTCTGACCTCTTGAGCCCTTGCGTGGAATTTTGGACAAAGGTGTCTTAGAGCAGAGCACCAAGTAACGTGGAAGAAATCATTTCCGTTTTCTGTCTTAAAGAAAATCTTTGACAAAAGGATTGAACCAAAAACCACAGTCCTTTTCTGGCAAAACATCTTTGCTTGCGGCAGAGGGTGGCGCACTTTCTATGGTGTCCAGGTCCAGAACAGAGTCCGTGAGGTCCTCATAGTGACCTTATCTGCTCGTGTGACTATTTTTGATGACGCTACCTACTAAATTGCTTGGATTGGCGTAATTCAAGTTCAGCTTGACAGCCAAAGGAATCCAAATTCAATGTCACCAAGCCCCCAACGTTTTTTGAGAGCCCTTTTCATTCATCATCACGGCTGCGACCAGCCACTCACCCATGGCGCAAGTAGGAAGTAGGAAACCCAACCTTTGCTGTCCAAACCATTAAAAAAGTTGACATATTTTTTACCAATCGGTGTAAGCAAAGACTTCGCTCTTTTTTTGAGTTCATAGTAAGAAAGTGAGTTAGTGATCTCTAATAAAAACACATCTCAATTGTGACCTAATTATATCACATTTACATAAATCGATTATATGTGTTTATTTCACCTGATTGCACACTTGTGATTTACTATTTTCAATTTCAATGATCTTTAGGGCTTCCATTGGCCCTCCAAAGCCCAGAGTTGGCCTGCAGCAACTTGGGCATGCAAGTAGACGTTGATGTCCACATCATCCACTAGCTGGACAAGTCACCCCTGGCACCCCTGGGAAATAGTCGTTTGTATGATAATAATGGTCGCAGTCCAGCACCTATTGTTTATATAGTCGAGGAAGCCTAGGGTATATATATATATATACACATACATATATATATATACATACATAAAGCCACAGTGGGGTCAACAGTTGACCGCGGCCTCATCAAGAATCAAGTAGTTTCCACTGACGCAACAAGAACAAACTCCGGAATCCAGCAATGGTGGCACTTGTCAAAAAAACAAGCTGTTCAGATTGCTCTGCAATACTACAATCGGATCCCATGTGTTTCCCAAATGTTGCTTTGCAATGTGTATCTCGGTTGGTATTGTTTCCTTTCTCCCTTCCCTGTTACGTAATCATACTCACTCTTGTCGCTAGCTGCAAGATGTCGAGCACCATGAAAGTCAGGAGCTGAGAAACTCTCAGAAATCTTCCAATGCAGCTGCAAAAGCAATTTTCATGGCCATTTTTTCATGGGAATCAATTGAGGCTTTTCTGTATCCATTATGAGTTTCTGCTTTCTTTTCTCACAAAAGCCCACATGTTGAAGAATGCCCGATGATTTCCCAAAGGTGCCGTGTCTCCATATGTTTCTTTTTCCAGATTGGGATGATGACGGAGGTTGCAAGACACCGAAATCCACCGTTAACTTTAACCATTCAGTCTGAAATCCTACATGGCATTGTCTGTTTTCATTGTCTGAAAATTTAGGGAATGATCATCATCAATGTTCATCATCATGATTCATGATCATCATCAATGTTCAACATCATTTTGTTAATCAGTGATCAACATCAATGTTCATAACTTCTGGTTCATCAATGTTCATCATGATCTCCATGGTTTCATTGTCATAAAGCCAGTATCAAACTGGGAGGGTAAAAGCACCCAGTATTCAGGTTAAACAGCCTTAAATATATGGTTAATCAAGCTGGTCATATCCCCCTCAACATCCCCAGAAAACATCACATTATTAATTTTATATCATATATATATATATCCCATTCTGCCGATATATTCCCATTGTATATACAAACTACGCAATGTTCTTGTTTGTACCTTGCGATGTTGTCCCTGGTTGCACTATTTTTGGGGTTGTGAACTGCTCCATGATCATTTGCGTTAGCACGGCGAGCTATAACAATGTCAACCGCGGATTAGACCTTTCTGATTGATTAGCAGATGTTCCCCAACAAAGTGTCAGTTTGCCAAATTGATAGGTACTGACATGGAGTCCAAACAAATTGATTCAAGCAGGGTTCAGATTAGTCAAGCAGCTTGACACTGGGTCCATCTCAACATGACAAAATTTCCCCTGAAAGGTACGCCAGCACTTAGGTTTTACGTTCACCCGCAACAAGGTTAATGGCGGTTCTTAAGGTTAATGGTGGTTCATACCCACTTCAGAAGGCCTTGTTGTTTGTTGCCATAGGCCTCACCTCAGTTTTTTGGGCGCCACATGACCCAGAAGGGAAGACCACTACCAGCTTTGTCAGCGTCCACCAAAGGTACAACAAAAGGACGAAGAAGGCGAGTTTCTCCAGATGGCCGCCCTTCAGCAGAACATGAGGCTTAGCCTGGCTGAGCTGATGACAGGGTGATGGCTGTAGAGCCACGACCTGAAGATTTTGGTACAGCATAGGCAGCCGTTTTTTGTGGAAGGAATACAGTTATCCAAGAGAATGTAAGAATATGGATTCTACTCGTACTTCTTGTGGTGGGCACATAGGGATTTCCACTCATGATCCTATACCCATCGGCAGTGTTGGCCATGGTTTATATATGATGTAAAGCAAATATGTCTTAAGTAGCATCGCCTGTCTCCCAGAATTGGATCAAGTTCAATTGTTAATACACAAGGGTTTCCTGTAAATTCTCCAATGAAACAACTCGACGATTGCGGGGTCAATTGAAAACTACCCTTCATATGGAATCCATGGTTCTCAAAGAAATGAGACAATGGTGGATTATTCAATGTCTTCACATCGTTGTGTTGATCTTGTCTATGATCATGTAAAACTGTTTATGTGGAATATCCCTCTTCATACATTATGAACTAATATGATCAATAGTATATGAATAGGAATATCATTAGAAATATAATAGAAACATATATGGCACATTGTGGTACTATTATATGCCTATTCTCAATGTACCTCTTACAATTTTCTATTACTAGTATAATATGTGGTACTATTAGGAATATAACAGAAAATATATTAAAACAATTTAAAACATATATATGGTATTATTATTTCTGACCTAATAATTCTATAAAATAAAAATATATGTTGTATAAATGTGGTACTATGATCATTTAAAACTGTTTATGTGGAATATCCCCATTCATATATTATGAATGAACAGGAATATCATTAGGAATAGCACAGAAACATATGGGGTATAATTGTATTGATAGAAATTACAAAATATAATTGTATAAATGTGGTATTAACATAAGTAGGAATATCATATCACTTTTTTCTATATAAAATACGTATTAAATTTATTACAGTTAGTGCCAATTTATACATATATACATATATACATATATATATATATACATACATATATATATATATATTACAGTACTACTATATGTGGTACTATTATTCGGTCACCTGGGATGCAATATCGCCAGGACTTTGAGCCACTGTCGCATCTTCGCAGGAGCAACTCGGAGCGATGAATTCGGCTACCCATGGCGAAGCGCGCGGTTGGTTTTAGAAAAAGGTCATGTTTATGCACGTATATCTACATATGTGTATGTTGTGTACATGCATATGCATACAGTATGTATATATATATAATAACTTTATTTATTAATATGCAAACATACACATTTTTTACACATATATAAAGAAACCATCATGATTTAAGTCACCAACGTCCAATCGAAACCACTGCCATAGGTCATGGCTGGCTGCATTGCTGGTTTGCTGAAGATCGAGGGGCTGCTAGGAGCCGTGGCGAAACGTCGAGCCGTGGCGTTTCGACCCCCATCTACTGCAACAATG